GGCCAGAGTATGCAGCCGGTTCCTGGAGGATGAAGGAATTGATACCATTGATTGGCCCCCACACTCGCCTGACCTTAATCCATTAAAACAGCTCTGGGCCATTATGTTTCCATCCATCCAATGCCGCCAGGTTGCACCTATAGCTGTCCAGTGATGCCCTGGTCCAGAACTGGGAGGAGATACCCCAGGACGCCATCTGTCGTCTCATTAGGAGCATGCCCCGACGTTGTCAGGCATGCATAAACGCACATGGGGGCCATACAAATGACTGAGTACCATTTTGAGTTGCTGCAATGAAATTTCAGCAAAAAGGACTAACCATCATTATTTCACTGTAATTTTTGGGGTGTCTTTGAATCCAGCCCTCTGTAGGCTGATAGTTTTCATTTCCATCAAATGACTTGGCTTCCTTTTGTTCCTAACACATCACCCAGTCCATATCAGTAGAAATAAACAGCATGATTTTTTGCCCCATTGAGATCTAATGTGTTTGCAAAGTGTTCCTTTAATTTTAAATATGTTTATATATATATATATATATATATATATATATATATATAGAGAGAGAGAGAGAGGTCATATGTAGAGGTCAGATTGATATTTTAACTTTTACCAGGGTGTTTTTAAACTGCAGTATCTATACTTCTACTTAAATAACAAATGTGTGTACTTTTCACACTTCTAAAGTCTCTAAAGCTTCTAAAGTTCATCTGTGTTTATTCAAAATGATCTTCAGTCTGATTATTAGCAAACTGCTCCACAGTCTCCTTCAGCAGCCGCTACATGTCATCAGAAATACAAGATCATTGACCTGCTGCTGGGAGGAAGCTTGATGATTATAACAAGATGAATGTTTGATAGGAAATTCAGTGAGGATTACTACATTGATAAAAGGTCCTTGAATGCACCATGACCTGTATTACCATAAAAAGCTGAACAGAAGCTCAGAAATTATCAGTTGAGAATAAAGCTGCTGCTCTAAAGGGGTTCGATCATCAGTTTAAGACTAGAAAAATTAAAACAGACAACTAGAAGATAAACTTATTTGTTTCTCAATCATCACTTCTTCACTGAAAACGAAGGAATCTGCAGCTTTGATAATTTCCATGTGCTGTTCATGTTTGGGGGTCTGAATGAGAGTCAACTCACTCTGGACTTTCAGAACAAGGAGATTCTGACTGATGTTACAGAATCCACCTCATTGGATTTCTGCTGACAAACCTCATCAGGGGGAAACTGCTTCCCTCTGCTCTCCTCTGGATAACTCCATGACCTGCAGCAGCCAATCAGATCCCTCCTGAGTGTGTTGGCATGGTGACAGAGGTCAGAGGTTTCACTGACCCACAGAAGGGGGAGTATTTCATGAAGAGCTTCAGAGATGAAGAGTAGGCCAGCAGGATCATCTCCTACATCAGGGATGGGAGATTGGCCGCCCAGGGGCCGCACACGGCCTTCGTCATCACTCAGCGAATAGATCAATAATAATTTAATTATTTAATAAAAAATAAATAGTAATCATACAGTAATGGCCAAAAGTTTTGAGAATGATT